AAAATTTTTAATGTGGAAATTTATAGAACACTTCAGCCTTTAAATAAAAATTAATAACGGAATTTTTTGAAATTTTTTACTATTTTTAATTTTTAAAGAAACACAAAATTATTTTATTCTTTAGAGATCTTGCCATAACTTGATTAATTTTCAAAAAGATTTGAAAAAATCTAATTTTGAAATTTAGAGAACTCTTCAGCCTATAAATAAAAATTAATATCGGAACTTTTTGAAATTTCTTACTATTTTTAATTTTTAAAGAAAAATAACAAAAATGTTTTTTTTTTCTTTGGAGAGACAAATCAAATCTTGCCATAACTTGTTTAATTTTCGAAAAGATTTGTGAAATTTTAATATTGAAACTAAAAGAACACTACAGCTGAATTTAATGAAATTGTTTTAATATTTTTAATTTCTTAAATGCTTGCCTAAAAGTATGCAGCAGTTTTTGCCCTCAGAATGCAGGCAAGCTGTTTCAACTCAACAATTTCTGTGTTGTTTTGGTAAAATTGTCATATCTCGGGAACTATTCAATGGATTTGAATATTTTTGGTCTTGAAATTTAGAGAACCTCTTAGGCTACAAAAAAAAACAACAGTTGCGGTTTTTGAAAATATTTTTAATAATGTTAAAATTTTTAATAAATGTGATAAATAAAAAATAAATAACTTTAAAATTAAAAGTAACTTTACTAAACGGGCCATATCTTGAGAACCACTTAATGGATCGGAAAATTTTTAGTATAAAAATTTAGCGAATCCATTGGACTACACATAAATCTACAACAAATAATTTTACAAAATTTTTTAATAACTTTAAAATTTTATTTTAAGGAAAAAATGAAAGAAAAAAACCAAAAATTCATTTTTTAGTAACTTTACTAAATTGGCCATATCTTGATAACCACTTAATGGATATAAATAATTTTGGTATAAAAATTTAGCGAACCCGTTGTGCTACAAATAATACAACAACAAATAATTTTACACAATTTTTTAATATTTTTAAATTTTTATTTTAATGAAAAAATATGTAATAAAAACATCCTATTTTAATTTGAGAGTTGCTTTACTAAAATTTACATATCTCTAGACATCCTTAATGAATCCGAACATTTTTGGTCTCAAAATTTAGAGAACCTAATGGGCTACAAATAAATAAAAAATGGGCTACAACAAATAATTTTAAATTTTTAATAATTTTGAATTTAATTTTAAAAGGTAAAACCTATTTTAGGAGATATCCCTATTACAATTTCCTCGACTGTTTGTTTGGAGTCTCGAATCTTGTCTTGACAAAAAATTAATACCTTTTCACCGTTTTGTTAACATGTCCAGCAAACAAGCAACGTTTTTCAACAATTCAATAACCAATAAAATACTCTATGGAAATATCGATTTTAAACTGTGCATTTAATGCTCTAACTTCCATAAAAATATTGTCACAAACAATTAACACAGTGTTTAGTTAAAAATCAATTTAAACTAGTTTAGAAAAGTCTAAAACAATGTTAAAACTAAATAAATAAAACATTTGAATTGGAAAGACAAATAACAAACAAATTTTTGTAGAAATGAACATTTTTGAAATTGAAATGCAGTTGAATGTTAAGCTATCACGGGTTTGAAGAGCTGACACACATATATATATTTATTATTCAAAATTGATGGTATTAAAAATGTTGCTAAGGTTTGAGGTCTACCACAAATTACCTGCATTTTTTCTTTAGAAAAAAAAATTAAATAATACCGGCCTCAATTTTCCAATATTTGCATACTGAAAACACAAAGTTAATATTTATAATGGAGAGAAGAAGTGGCAAATTACCAAAGACCCTGATGATGATGATGAGGCAATTGCGTGCCATCGACGAACGGGTGCTAACAATTGGCCTCAACTCAATAATATAAAGGACAATGTATTTAAAATAATTACATAAAGAGACACTGGCACATAACTTGTGGTTCTTTGGAATCTCCTGAAATTGTCAAAAAAGAAGCAAACCTTAAAGTGTTTATGTCCTCAACTTAACAACTTTTGGTTTTTTTGGGAATAGCATAAACCTATAATTTGAAAAGTCCAAACAAAAATTACCAAAAATAAGTTATAAAAAACCGGGCAGGGTTAATGTACACTTCCGTGATCAGGGAGTGTGTGTCTCATTTACGTTATTTTTGGGAACGGACTTCTCCTAATGATTTTTTTTTCATTTTTTGCAAAATGTGTTCTTCTTTTGTAATGTGTGGCAATTGCAATTTTGTGTGCTATTTAATTTAATCATTTTCAATTTTTGTTTAAATTACATTTAATTTAAGCCAAAAACAGTGAATAAAGAAACCTAACCATTTCCCCTCCACTTGAAGAAGACCAAAGAAAATCATTTTTTTCATTTAATTTTTTGTAGATAAGTTACTTGAACTGTGTTTTTGGTGTTGTTGTTATTTTTTTTTTTCACTTTGAAAATGAACGCGAACTACAAGTGACGTCTACAAAGCGTTCACTTAAATCAATGGTTACTTTGCTGTGTGTCTGAGGAGAGATGTGCTGTGTTGTAGTACGAACTGCTTGCTGCACGCCGCCGTTGTTGCTCATTAAATTAAATGAACCATCAGCACGCAATTTATTTTCTTTAAAACACAAAAATTCTGTATTTTTTATTTTTATTTTCTACTACTGCTACTTCTTCTTATAGTTATTTTTTATTTTTTTTTTCTCTTTTGTTTTTATTTTATATTTTTAGTTTGTGTTTTTTTTCGAAATATTTTTTTTTACGCAAAAACCGCTCACGCATTTTTCCTAGCTATCTGTTTTAAGCGATCATCATCAGTGCTGGTGGTAACTTGGTGAGATATCTTTACCATTGTGTGTACCAAATATCATGGCATGATCCATGTTAATTTAATTAAATATAATTTCCGTTCAAAAGAAATACACAAAAAAAAACACAACACCATATCACACTAATAGTAATAATAACAACACCAATAATAATATAAAAAAAATAATAATGGCATTATTTAATATCATCAACATTTTTTTATAAACAATGAAAATCAACACGAGCTAATGAGCAAAAAAGACAACAACAAAAAATAATTCGAAGAAAAAACTTTAAGACGGATGAAAATATTTAATAACATTTAGCCAAGATATTTGGAAAATTATTTGAAAAAAAAAATAATAATTAAAATAATGCGATTTTTTGCCGCCGCTAAAGAGAAATCACATTTTTCGTTGCCTAAAAGTATGCAGGGGATTTTGTTGGAATTATTTAAAGGGAAACAGCTGAGTGAAACTGTAAAGGGAATTAATTGAGGATTTTTATTTGATCCGTTTAAGGATTTATGGGTAAATAATGAAGATTTCAACAAAAAGAAATTTGGAGGGAAAAATATCACTGGGAAAAAATATTCGGGGGGAAAATTCCCTGTGAGTGAAATTACTCGCCAAGTCGTGGCATTTTTACCGAAAGAAATTTTCCAAAAAAATATTGTAAATTAAAAGAAAAATAGTTTCTTTAAAAGCCATGGAATCGAAATTCAAAGGGAAAAATTTCACAGGAAAATATTTTGAAGAGAAAAATTAACTTTGAATGAAATTTCTCCTAAAGCCGTGGCATTTTTGCAGAGCGAAATATTTGAAAAAAACTGTATTAAGAGACAAATAGTTTCGAAACTTTTAAAAGTCATGGAACTAATTTTATTTGAAAGGAAATAGAAGGCTTCAATGAGTGATTCTGACGGAGAAATTTCTGGTGAAACTCAGAAAGATTTGCCTGAAGAAAAAAATAATTCTGAAATTATTTTAGCAGCATTAAATTGAGTAACTGTTTGTATGAAAATAGAGTATATATTCGGTAATAAAATTTGTTGGCAAGACATGGAAAATTCCGATCAAGCCCAAATAAACAAAAAAAAATGGAAATTGGGAAATTTGACACAATGACCGACCTCCATTGATTGTATCATTTGTTGACCCAATATTTGGTGAATAAATTGAAATAATGCCGATCAGAATCTGTAGAAAGTCGGCATTTTTTCTGATATTTTTTGCACTATGTTAATGTTGGAAAAAATTCATGGAATTTGAAAGAGGACATATTTGGACTTAAAATGGGATACTAATCAGGTCGAATTCTTAAGTTTTTTTTTTTTTAAATTATCGGATTTTTTTAAATATTTTTTCTCATAACTTTAGTCGAAAATCGGGAATATTTTCCCAATATTTCAGACAATAAAATATATTGGAAAAAGGCAAAGGTTTTGTATGAGGAGAAAAATCTCGGTCCATTTGTTGTTGTATATAATATTCACATGTTTGCCTTATGGATATTTTTGTGAAGTTAGAAAATATTTTCTAAAGTTTTTTAGAATTTAACGAAGGTGTGAATATCTAAGACAAAAATCTAGACCTCAAACACTTTCACAAAACATATTTTTTGGAACTCTAGAAGACTTCAGAATTTTTCTAAGGTTAGAAGAAGTTTCAGGATGAGAATATGAAATTCAAACACTTCTGAATGGATTTTTTTGAATATTTGTTTTTTATTTGGAATAGAAAGGCCTTCTAGAAGATTTAGAAAAAATTTAAAGAATATGCAAATCGCATATCGGAACATAGTTTTTTCTATTTTTGTAATAAATATTTATCCATTTTTCATTATCAACATCATAATAAAATAATTTTAAACATGTTCGGATTTTTTCCAATTAAATGTAAATTTTTTCCAAAATCGATTTTTCTATTTTTTAGAAAAAAAAATCGTTGAAAAGGTTTTAAACGTAATTTTTCTATTTTTTTATTGATATTTTCCCTATTCTTTTTTTATTTTCCTGATTGCCTAATTTTTTGTTGCCTTGGCAAAATGCCGTCGCTACTTTGCTAGTTGGTCCTATTTTTTTTTTTTTTTTTGTTTTTTTTTTTTTTTAATTTCACACAATAATCTTTGCCCTATTTTCAGAACTTATTTTTTGTGTTCAAAATGTTCTTGTAATACTTACCCTAGGTTGAGCCATTAATGCTCTGGGAGCGGTGTCCAACCCGATTTGTGCCACTTTTTGTTAAAAATTAAACAAAAAATGAAAAACTTAACCAAAAAAACTACAACCAATCTTTGCAATTGAGTTGTAGATTTTTTCCTAGGCGAGCGTTTCAAATAATTCCGTAAAAAACACTGGATTGCGAAAAATAGGTGCTCTGCTTTTTTGTTTTCTTCCAAAAATAACACTAGTCACTTGTGTTTAAAAAGAAGGTGTAATAGAGGTGATTTTTCTTCTTTGCTTCTCTTGCTTTTCTTTTGACTTATTTTAGGCACATTTATATTTTTTTCTTTTTTATTAAATATATTTTTTAATTTAATTATTTTTTTTATTGAATAAAAATCGTATACAATTTTGTTGTGGTTGTTGCAAATATTTGTTGTTATTTAAGCATGACTTTTAGTATACTTGGTTGTTGTTGTAGTTATAATTTATTATTTGTTTTGAGTTAGCAGAGATAGAGTGGGGGGAGAGGTCATAAATCCATGTTTTCTTCTTCTTTTCTTGTTGTTGAAATTTATGATTTGTTTTTGTTTGCAATTTTTTTTTAATTTAGTTCAAAAAATTTTTTTTTTGTTTTGTTTCGTATACCACTGTATTGTAGATTTTTTATTTAATTATTATTGAAAATCAAATTTTTTTGCAAATGAAACTTAAATTGTATCACAGTTTTTTTTTTTTGAATATTAAACTGAAGTTGTTGTTGATGTTGTGAAAACCAAACGTAAAATGAAATTAAAACCGAACCGAAAGATAATTAAAAATTTTTTGCGCGCGCGTTTCACGTTTGTCCCCAAAAAAGCGACGGCTTTTTGGTTTAATGGTTTTCAAAATGATTTTTTTCACAATATTATTATTTTTAATTTTTGTTATACGCGTTAACCGCCGTTTTATTGTTTTGTATGCTGTGTTTCAAAAACTTTGTTTATTTGGAGTTTGTTTTTTATTTTTATTCACTTGGCCTTTGCAATTTTCTTCTTTATTATTTTTATTGGAGAAGAAAATTAATGATGTTGGTTGGGCCTGCTATTTATTTTCTATGTCTTGTCGTGTTGTTGTTACATTCAATAATAAAAATAAAAAATTTTGTTTTGTTGTGATCTTGTTTCTTTCTTTTTTGATTGAATATTTGTTGTGGTTGCTTGGCTTGTCGTCGGTCTTTTCTTTCGTTTTTTGTATTAGAGAGAAGAAGACTCTTCTGGTTGGCAATCACAAATTTATTTATTATTTGGGGTTTTCTGATATTTATTGTATTGATGTTGGTTGTGTTGTTGTCTGGTTACTACTAATCTACTCGATCGTGGTGTAACTATCCACACAGCACAGCAGCACGTCGTACGCGTTTCGAAGGCAAATACACACTGGGCTTGTCAATCACAACGAAAACTAAACTTGGCGGGGGTAAACACACAGCAACACAGCACAGTGTACACACACACAGTGAGAAGCACTCCACACAGTACTGTGTGTTTGCTTGCTGGCTACCTCTTCGTCATGCACACACATATACTTGTTCTCACTGAACTAGAGAGTTTACCATGAGTGTATGTGTGTGTGTGCTTGGTTGGTTCTTCGTTGCTTGCCTTGCTTTGCTGTGTGTGGGGAAAAACAACTCAAAATGTACTCTCGCCTAGGAGGTAGGCAAATGTTTTGGCATGCCTGCCTGCTTTGCTGTGCATGCATGGGTTTGTGTATGTGTGTGTGTGCTTAAGGAGCGCAACAATTGTGCCATTAAATTTCATTTGAAATATAAATTTTGATGAAATGTGCGCAAGACAAGGAAAACTACCTGTTTTTCTTACTAAATGAGTGTCATAAATTTTCCTAAGCCAGAAAGAGATGGCCTGTACGGTTTTATGCGAGGCTAATGGCTCAACCGCATCGTAACAACAACAAGGAGGAACAATAAAAACAACAACAATAATGGGCGACAGATAAAAAGCGCATGTGTTTGTCAAAAAGTAAATCATTATTATTGCTGCCATCAACAAAAATTGCAAAATGGGAGAGAGAGCGAGATAAACGAGAGAGGGTGCGAGTGAAAGACCTGTGAAAGAGAACCGAGACGATTTTACAATGGGATTAAGAGAGTTTTTGAATAAATGCGGCGAATTTAAGTGAATTTTTGGTGCTTTAGGAAAATTAAAATAAAATAAATTTCCAATAACTCAATTAAATTTTTGAAAATGATTTATTAAAAAAACTTCAAATTGAAAGAAGCAAAATGAGAGTTATATTGCAAAGAGTTGTAATTTTTTATTACTCATTAATTGTGGGTGAGAGCCAGCCAAATGATTTCTGTTTGCTTCTCATTGTTGTTGTTCTTGTTGCTGCTGTATTTGTTGCCATTATTTGAAATTTATTTGTCTTTAGATGAAATGAGACGGCTTATAATCACTTTGTGATGTGAACGAACGAACAGACACACATCCATACCAAAAAGAAAAAAATTGCCAACGACTGCAATGAGCAGAAACTGGCAACATTTGTTGTTCTTGTTGTTGGTTAATTTCCCTCCCCCCTCTTGACAACACAGTGCAAGCTAGGCTAACACTCCTCTACCTCCCTCACTCCTCCACCTGTACTAAGGCCCCAAGAAAAAAAGTGGCAGCAACAAGCTAGATCCCAAGAAGAAAAGCGCCAGCGTCTGAAAGTTCTCAGGGATGGCTGGCTGACTGGCTCGCTCTAGTCTTGCTATTTCTAAAGAGCTGCACAGTATTGTTGTTGTTGCTGTTTGCTTCCGTTGTGTGATTTAGCAAAAACCAATCCCCATTTGTTATCATTCGCCGCCAGAATCGAGTTGAGTGAGTGGTTGGCACATTTGCATCACAAGATTTCAGTCAAAATCAAATAAATGGCTCATACCGAACGGTAGTACAACAACCTAGTAGTGGTATTTGTTGTTGGCTCACACACACACAGACATACTCCCCAACATTTAGCAAAGCCATTGGTAAGCTCTCGTAAGCAAGACACACAGTCAAGTATTTTTCCAAGCATGGCAAAAGATCCAAGACGTTGAAATATAAACGTCGTGTTGTTGTCATCTAGTTGGGGTCTTTCTATGTGTGTGTGTCTGTGAGTGTAAGAAAAAAATGGCAAACAAAAAAGTGAATAGCAGCAACAACAAAATTTACAACGAAGTGGGTTGGTTTGTTTAGTCGGCCCACTCTCGTCACTCTCTTTCTCTGTGGTGTTGGCTGCTGCTGTTTGTTGTTGGTTTTAACACCCGGCTCCATATATCATCTCGGAGCAGAGACCCACAGAGAAAGAGAGAGTGCCAGAGTAGGGTTGACTGGCTGGTGGGTTGTTGTTGAAGCCAACACACAAAAAGTGGGTGGTGATTTTGGGTTCGGGAGAGCACAGAAATAACTTGACGACGACAAAGGCGATAAGAACAAATATAACAACAACAATGTCAATAACAACAACCACATTAAGGGTTATGATGACGATGATATTTCACTACTCACAAGGCAGGTGTAAGAAGGGCCTCGAACAAAACGACTCACAACTCAAAAATCACAAGGGTTTCCTTGTGCAAGTCCTTCTGCTACGGACAGCTGTAATACTCATTTGGCTGTTTCGTAGTAATTTGGTCGGTCGTCAGTCACTTCACAGGCCTCACCGGCTGGCAGTAGAAAAAGAAAGCTCAACTGCAACACAACTAAGAATTACGAAGAAAGGCATGGAAGGTCCGATGTAAAAGTTTGAAAGCCAGTAGATAGAAAGAAACGGTTTGGAGACGTTTGGTTCGGTTGTTCATACTTCATACCGAAAAAACAAACAAAATCATGCTCATTTTTCTTCTTCCGTACTCGGGTTGACTAATATAGATGCGCAGTGTAGTCGTCATCATCCATTGTCGTCGTCGTTGTAGTAGTTCGTAAAACAAGAAGTCATTGCTAAACAACAACAAGACGATATAAAAATGAGGAGGTGGCGTAATCACCACCCCATTTAAAAAAAAAAAAAGGTTTCCTGTTGTATTAGTAGTTGGCAGTCGCTTGCAAGGTTCGTTCTTATGCTCCCAAAATAAAAACTTCGGCCTTAAGTTTTCTAATAGTGTTAGTGCTAGTGTATGGCTGTGCACTATAAAACTTATAAATGATTTTTCTTTTTTTTTTTATAAAACAAAATAGAAAGAGATTCTTGTTGTTGGAGACAGTTGAGCAAGCAAGTCACTCATTCACTCAACACAACAACACATACATCCATCCATTCATTCACCATCTAACAATAATGATAATGACGACAAGAGTAGCAACAAAAAAATAGGTAACGCCTTCAAAATTTATAAAATTTGCAATATCTTAGAAATGCAATGCCAAACGAAAAAAATTTTGTTGTTGTGTGTTGAGAGGGAAGAAAATACAAAGAAAAAAATTAAATCAACAACCAACCAAACAACGAAATAACACCCACCTCCTACAAAGAAATAAAATAGTTTTAACAAAAATTCGTTCAAATAGTTTCTTTACTATGTAGGAATATTCGAAATTCACTTTTACAACAAACAAAATAATAAAGTGATTTATTAAATTACTTGGAAGTAATTTTTTGTATGAACAAAGAGGAAGAATCAACGCAGGAAAAATACTGAAATGTCACGCTTTCTTATAGAAATAGGACACCATAGTTGACTATGTCTACTATTAATACTTAAAAAAACTTCAAGGCCGCCAACAAATTGTCATTGTCATTTTTGTTTTATTTTACTACGGGAGGAGATCGTCTCTCATAAATGTCATGGAAATTAATTGTGTTATGAGTTGTAAATGAATTTTGAAAAATAAATTCTAAGTGGGAGAATATTGTTAAAATGGATGTAAATGCGGCATGAAATCGATTTAATATTAACCCAGATAAAGCCAGAGATGTTTACTTCAAAACGTTAAATTCAATTTTGAAACTTAAATATGTTATTAATAAATTATCTTTTTAATAAAATTTAGTTTCAGCACGATTTTAGGAGAGTATAGAAAAAGATGCAACAATAAAATAATATATAGACATTCAATAAAATAGCGGTTATTTTTTAGGAGGGGTATTGCAATTGTTGATGTTCTTCTAAAAGCTAAGTGAGTTAAATATAAAA